ATTTCTTGAGAAATTCAAAAAAATATTAAAAACTGAAAGTGTCTCTTCCATTATTTGTTGGGAAGTGATTACATTTCATTTGGAATCTCTTTTTTTTTCTCACTCCTTTCTTGATGGATTTTTTTTTCTTATGAAAGACGAAAATAAGGAGAATAAAAATTCTTTCTTAAAAATGTCTTCTCTGAATTATTTGCTAGGACTTTCTATTTCTTTCATTTTCATTAGTTTTTTTAATAATGCGCCGCCTTTTAGTATATGTACTGCCGAATTTAGTATATGTATTACAATACTTTTATTCTTATTATGATCAGGTGGGCCGTAGATTGTGCACCCCTATAAAGTAATATAATATACTCGCCCTCATACTTTCCCCGCACTGCGGGGGTAATATTGACACCACTGTCATAGTGTTAAGTAATAAAGTGAAATTTTCATGACTGCTCGCTCCAAATGCATTCATAACACGTGATGTTAGCATATTATACTTTATGAATGATGAATTGAAAGAAAGCTTCGCGCTGACTTCTTTTTTTTTCCCTCGGAAAGTCATCTTCTGCTTCCTGTCGATTTTTATCTCCTTTATTTTGTCTTTAATTGGAGACAGAGGAAGGTCTTTTCTTTTAAAATACAAAGAACCAATTACAAGAATGAAAAGAAAATCATTTTATTTTATACTTGTGGGCAATACAGTGACCATAATATCACTCCATTACATGAGCAGCCGTTTCTAAAGACCCACTATCTGCAGGCAGTGGAAGATCATTTTTGCAGTTACCGTTTGGAAAATTAATATTAAAACTAAATATAAAGTATGACACGTAAAGAAAATTTGAAATAAGCGTTGCATTGCTTGGGACTTTTTTTTTCAGATTTATTAAAAAAAATATCGGATTAAAAATTGGCGCGTGGCCTAGGCAATGAGCATACCTAGGATGAGTGGAATACATTCAATAAACAGGCATCAATCTATTCAGTTTCAGCACAAGGTGACTTTTTGATAAAAAAGAGTATTATCAATTATTTAAGATTTTGTTTTAAAGGTATCGCCATCCATAAGACTTTAAAATCGAACAGTTAAAAACTCGAATCAAAGCTTCGATAATAATTTACATACTATGTGGAAAGGCTTACATTTATTGTAAATTTTCATCAACCAAACGATTCAGATAAAACGATCTTGCAACAGAAACGCAGTGCAAAAAAATACACACCTGTAACTAAAAAATTAAGAATTTTTCCTTTTTTTTTTCTTCTTTCAACTCACGTTTGCCCCCGGAAATGTTACTTTGAATCTTACTGAAACTGAAGGGGGAGAAATAAATAAAAAAAATCATCCCCCTTTTTCAAAGGATGATTCCCCAGCCTTTAAGGTGTGGAGGGGGGAAGAACGAGGGAGTGAGGGTAAAAGAGGACAAAAATAACCGCCACTCTGTGACCTTGCCCCAACGAACATTTTCCTCCCTCAACACCTGTAGCTGAGAGAGAACGTTCCAAGAATCCCTCCTTTCTTGAGGGGTAGGGGAGATCGGAGAGAAGAGCAGAAAAATTTTCCCGCCACAACTAAAACGACCTTCACATTCCACATCTCTCCCCTGTTTTCTGAACCATAAAAACTAAACACTGTTTCTGACAATTAAGATGAATATTCATCTGTAAATTCTGCATTATAAAAGGGAAATATTTATAAATTACACATATTATTAATAAAATCATCAACTTGTAAGGTAACGCAATTGAGCATTAAAAAAAAAATGTGAACGCCTATTAAAAGCTGTAATAAGTAAATCAATAATATCGTTCGCTAGTGTGCATCATTATTATTTTTAATAAATATGGTATTGTTATGAATGTTTTGTGATTTTCTTCATTTCACGTTTATTTCCAAATTTTCTTTTTCATTTTAAAAAAAAAACCTTTTGATGTTCGCCCTATTCTGAGAAATGTCTTACGTTATTCATGTCAACAGTTTTATTAATCGTTTAAAATTTTCATTTTTTGTAAAAGAGGCAGCTCTTAAAAAATATGCGTTAAAAAGAGCAAAAAAGAAAAAAAAAAAACCCTTATTAATAATTACATAAATTTAACATTCAATTTAATTCGGGTCGTTGTACCAAAATGTAATGTAATTAAGTATTTATTCAAAAGAAATTAAATATTTTTATTTAAAAAAAATTAATGTACAGGAATGAATTCAAATACTAACTACTAAAAAATCTTCATAATACTTAAGCAATTCTAAAACTGTTCTAAAGTTCAATAATTGCATTTAGTATATTATTGTGATACAATAATATACATACAAATGATACTTTTTTAACTAGTTATTTTTTTGAAAATTGTACTTAATTGAAATGCTTGTAAAATTTTTCATCCAAGCTAAATATTAAGCCCCGAAAGATACGATTTTTAATTAATAAATTATTTATAATATATTATTATAATATACCATGCATTAAAAATATATAAAGTAATAAAAGTTCTCTTTATTCAACTTTAAATTAAACTTAGTATATTAATAATTGTCGAATTATCTTCGAATAACATTTAATTTCGGGTCCATTAACGAACCGAATGGAACCAACACAAAATTAATGAAATATAGCTATCGAGGTGTTTTTTTTCTTTTGTCATCCTGTACTTTTCTTGTCTGTGATTCTTGTTAAAATTGCTGCAAATGGCCAATAGCAAAAATGTCTAGTTTTGCCCTATAATATATAGTTAAATATACAGTTTTATCTTTTAATATAATTTAAGTTAATAATTATGGTAAAAAAATCTGAATAAAATATAAAGCAATTAAATAATATAATTTTGTATCATTCAATGTTATTGAAACCTAATTAGATATTTTTTAGTAAACAAGAATCAATTCTAACTTGACATGAAGGAACATGGTTTAGAAGATCAAACACGGAATTTTACAAAGCATATAAAGAACCTGATGTCATTAAATTTATCAAAATTCAAAGGATTAAATGGGCAGGCCACATGATAAGAATGGAGGATAGCGGGACAACCAAAAAAGTTTTCTGTGCCAGGCCAACAGTTACAAGAAAAAGAGGACGGCCAAACTTAAGATTTTTAGACTGCATTGAAAAGGACCTTCAAGTTTTAAAGATAATAAACTGGAGAACCTTGGCTATGGGAAGAATGTCTTGGCATAGGCTTGTTGAGAAGGCCAAGGCCCATCCTGGGCTGTCGTGCCAATGAGAAGAAGGAGGAACATTTTCCATTTCAAATACTTCTTTTTAACTAAATAACTGAACTCGCAACATTTTAATTACATTAGTATCGAAATATACTTTTTGCGAGAATTTATTTTTAATTCTATCGAAATACTCGATTGAAAATGGCCTGATTATTAAATGCATCAAGTAATCGTTCTTTTATTGATATTAAAATCTTTTTTTTTCTTCAATAAAGTTATGCATTTTGTAAGCCTATTAAAAGGGATGCCACAGATATCACACTAAGTAAGATGCCAGATTAAAATATTTTATTAAAAAGTCTTTTTTACTTCAAATTAAAATCTCTTAATAAAGACAAATTAAAGAATTTTTTTTCCATTATTGTTTTTTAGCAACTACTTCCTCCACTCGATAAAAAAAAATCTTGCATACAGTTACTGCATATAGTTAAACACAGAATTACTATTAAGACAAAAGCTGAAAGAAATTTTATTTAAAAATATTAAGTAGCAGTTTTAAAAAAAATAAGATTTTAGTATTTTTAGCGAACGAAATAAAAAAAAAATTACGCATCGTTAGAACTTGTACGACTTTAATTATGGATTCGATTCGAGCCGTTGAGTCAGAATTCAATGTAAGGAATTACTTATTCGAATGATGTATACGTATTTTTAAAAATTCACATACAAGGATTCATTGAAAGTTTGCGGAACTTTCCCCATTTCATACTAATTTACAAAATGACATGTACTCCTATGTAGTTCTAAATTTTAATAATTACACTAATTGTAATGTAACATTCATTTTTTAACTAGCTATTTTTTAAAATTGTTTCAATTTGAAATAATTCATCATTTTTAGAACATTAACCCAATAAGCGACTATTGTTAATTGACACATTATTTATAACACAATTAAATTCTATACATAATTATACGTATTTATAATTAAAAATATGGAAAGCATTGTTTCTTTTCAACTTCAAATTAATCCTGGTACATTAGTATTTTTTTTTTAAATCTTTCTAATTACTTTCGAATAATGACACTGGAGAACACATTTCTGTTGTGATTTTTCTCTAACACTTTAGTACAGCTGATTTTAAATCTGCAATATAGGTTTTTCTCTCCAAAATACAGCTTAAAAAAAAAAGATATTTTAATCCATTTTTTGTCTAAGTGTGCAAATTTAAAATGCAACATATAAAAGGGAGTCGCATAAATTCTGCAACAAACTTCTAGGTTAGGAGACACCATCAGGATTGCATAAAACCCATGGTCGGAAATGTCGTCATGCGCCGCTAAGATCGCTTCCCTATTATAATACATATATTAATGCTTCCTGTGCCCTAGAACAGGTCGTTTTTGGAAATTTTGGGGCATAGGTTTAGAAGTAATTTTTTAAGCGACCCTGTTATGAATAACGCTTTTAAACTTGCGCACTTCGACGAAAAATAACATTTATAAAATAGGTAGCCTCAGAAGCAAAACTAGCGTAAGATTTGAAATCTAAATGAAGCAATATCGAGTATTAACCTCAATACAACAAAGTGTTATTGAATGACATTAAATTCGGATACAAAGGCACGAAACGAATCGTCCGTTTAATTTGTGTAAAAGTTAATGAACTGTATAAATACCTATTTTATACTTGATTTTTTTAAAAATTAAAATAATAATTATAAATGGCTATCTACTTATTTATTGAAGGAATAAATTGACTTCGAATTCATTTCATCCCTTTTTTGAAGAAAAAATGTTTGGATCTCTTTCTTTTCAGATAAGACTTGTTTAATAAAAAGGCAGACATAAAAACAAGTTAAAAATAAATTTATTTACAATCAACAGAATGCATTTTAATGGAAGGTTATTTTTTTCTCCTATTCATTTTCAGTTGACGCTTCTTCTTGGCGTGACTCTGTAATCTTTCTGTTCTGTTTCTTGCTTTTAAGATTTCTTCTTTATTTTTCAGTTCCCTTCTTGGGGGTTTATTTGATTTCTTACCCTTCATCCCTCCTCCCTTTACTGCACCTGCAAATAAATATCACAGTATAATTACTTAAATGAATTTAATTTCATTTAAATAATTTCAGTAATGCTTAAGGCAAAAAAAGGGGAAAGATTTAATAAATATTGCTGACTAGTAAAATATATATTTCAAAACAATATCATTCATTTTGTGTTTTAAAGCAATAAAAAAAACTTTTTAAAATTTAAAGTATTTTTATTTGATTTCGTTTAAATGGATTCCTTTTTGTACAGATTGCTATTAGATCTTTTTCAAAACAAATAAACCAATTTTTTTAAAACTTTACTGAGAAGGAAATTATAAATATATTTTCCTCTACTTTCCAATTTACTTTATAACAAAATATTTCTTTATTAATTAAAAAAAGAAAGAAAATAATGCCTTTTTAAAAATAAAATACTATTTGCAAAATAACATATGTGGGAGCGGAGTTATCGACCATGCCAACTTTCATCTATCAAAAGGTACCTCATGATTGAATCAAGTTAGCATGTCTTATATACCAGTGAATTGATGTTTAATTTTCGTAGTGGTAGTTACGCCACACATACTTTAATGTAAGTATGACCTTTGGTACAATGTGTAAGGTTTCTAATCCATTTTTTTTTCTCTACACTTTTATTAATTAGAAATATGTAGCTTAGGAGAAAGCAATTAAAACTAATAAAGTAAGCATAAAAGAAACTCATATGTGTGAATTTTTTAAAAAATTGTGACAATTAAAATTTTTTTTCAACTATTATATAAAAGAAATATATTTTTTATCAATTTTTGCATACCATTAATCTCAACGTAACAAATCTGAAATAATATATATTTATTACGTAACGTGCCGTAAAACTACCATAAACGTGGCTCCGAATTGAATCAGCATTAAAAAAGGGCCAATTCAATTTTACAGAGAAATTGTTTTGTAATGCATTCGTGTCATCTTAATGCATTCACTTTTCAGTGATACATTGTATCAACGTTATCCAATAGGTCTCATAAGATACACTCACCTCTGAAGTGCGAAACTTTTCTAGCATCTGTGTCACTCTCACTCTCATCTTGTTGGTATTTCACTTTATTCTTTTCTTGCCATTTTTTATAACTATCATCCGTTAAGTCAACAATTATGAACTGAGATAGAAAACAAAATAAGTGTTTAGTATCGACACAGACCACATAACAGGGCTTTTTCTAAAAGGTTACACAGCTCCTTCTAAAACTATATTTGTGTCATTTAATTTACAATAAAAAAAAACATACATAGAAATTTGTGCCTGAATTTAAAAAAAACTGAGTTTTAACATTTCTGCCACCAAATAATATCCCCACTCATTCTCCCTTCCCTATTCCGGTCTCCATGGGAAAATTTTTGGTTTCATATGTCACTGTGAACAGAATAATAAAAAACAGTTAAAAAAAAAAAAAAAAAAAAAAAAAAAAAAAAAAAAAAAAAGCGAAACAGAATAAAAATTAAACACCATAAAATAATATATATAATACACACGCATATATAGGGAGGGGATAGAGTCCCCCGATTCTTGAGATTGTGACTATAAATAAAAACTTTTAATAAATTTTTTTAAGGCTTTTTTGATAATCTTTTCATTGCACTGAGATAGGAGATCTTATTGATAGTTTAATAAGTAATTGAACATTTGTGTCATTTTGAGTAACAAACTAATTATTTTTTCTTTAGTAACTCATTTAGAGCAGATTCTCTTTTTATTTAAAAAAAAATGGAAAATCTTCAAATTTTTTTTTGTAGAAGGTATCAAAATACGTGAAACAGTTTATAAAAGAAAAAATAATTTTAGACCAGAACTATGTTTAAGTTCATTTTATTATTTCTTTAATTAATTTTAAAAAACAATGTATTTTGCGTTTTCACAATGTCATGAATTGTTTTCATATCTCAGAAAATAAAAGTATATTTTTTTTTGCATTCATTATATCATCATCATTTTAAAGAAGTGACTATGGCGCCATCTATTGACAAAGATAAAAGTTTACTTGCCTGCTCATTAAATGGATTAGTTTTTCTTATTATTTTTAGTTCTTAATTCAATAATGCTTCGATTTGCGTTTTCAAAATCTTTCTGAAAATAATAAAACGATCAGAAAGGTTAAAAGTTATCAGGCATAGCTGAATTTTCATACCTAATTTTAATTTCTACTAGTTAAGAAAATAAATTTAAATTTTCAGTGGCGCCCTCTATGAAATTGAAACAAAAATAATTTATGGCAACGTAAGTGAGGTAACTTTATAAACACATTTTTAAACTGGGAACAAAAATCAATGCTATAAATTTTTTCGAATATAATTGTAACAAAAATTCAAGAATTTCTCATTAAAAAATGAAGGATATGTTAGAAAAACTGTCTTTTAACTCAGTAAAGCTGAATTTTAAAATTTTTTTCACAAAATGTATTTTTGTTTTTAATCAACACCATACCAATAAATTAAGTTTACAGGCTGAAAGTTGTATTTTTTTAAAAATCTTTATTTTATTTTGATTATGTTGAAGCATTTTAAAACAGGACACTATCTGACTCAGAACGTTTAAACCAAACTTGATTTGATGTATAATATTTAAAAAAAAAACTTAGTTACCCAAAAGTAAAGTTACCTCAAACTAAGAGATAATATTATTTATTTTTATCGTTTTTTACACTAAAGGTGAACTGATGGGAAAGGAAATGGGTCATTCCAAGTCAAATTATACAGAATTTTTTAAAAATGGCACCAATCATTTCAGATTTTGAACACTTTATATTGTCCCAGAACAATATTTTTGTTTCTGTTCAAAATACAGTAACCTGTCATTTAAACTTAATTTCATACAAATAAATGTTATTTGTTGAGAAAGTAGGTCTAATTTGCGGTTTTATGATCAGCAGAGTTTAATAACCTTAAGTATCCGACTTCATGTGAATCGTTTATCACTTTCAATATCAAAAAAAATTGTTAGTCAAACATTATTGAAAGTGATGACTAACATCGAAATATTTGACATGGAATAAAAAAAAATTGAATAGGGGGAGTACATGACTTTTTGAAAAAGACTTTTTATACTTTAAAGAAAAGTGCTAGTAAATTTGGAGATTTTTACAGATTGTGGTATTAAAGTAGTATACAATTTAGGCAAAACAAAATATGAATAGCACTTTTTTCAGGAGTAACATTAAAATGATAAATGGCCCATCCCTTTCATATCAGTATTCAAAAAGAGATAGCCTTTGGTTTTTTTTTATTACAAATATTTTTTGTGCAATTGACACTTACATCACAATAGGAAGAACAAGGATGTTCAACGACGAGTCTGATACTTTAGAGGACAAACAGTGTAAAAAATATTTTTCTACAAAAGGAAAAAAAAAAAAAAAAAGATTCATAGATGTAAAATCACCTGCATTGCATGTTTTTGAGTTAATATCAATCAAAATGACAAATTTTCTGCAGATTAAAATTTGACAACAGAAATTTTGCTTTAGTTCGCTGTAACTTCTAAGGGGGAGAGAAGTGCAAAATCAACTGCTTAAGTTACTCAACTTCTTTGATTAAAAAACACTGCAAAACATACCTATTTACTAAACAAGCAGGGCACCTATTTGTTTAAAATTATGTTTAAATGACAGATTATTTTAATCTGAACTAAAGAAAATAATAATTATATTCTGGGATACATATGAGATAAGTTACAGTGGGAATTAAAATGGCAGCAAATGAGCCATTTTGGAAAAAAATAAATAAATACTTGTAACTTTGAATCCTTTAACTATATTGGATATCTTTCATATTTTTTAAATAAGCTTCGAAAAATTCTTTAATTGTACAAATTTTCATGAGAATCTGAGAGGGTGGGTGCCATGGCCGGATGAATAGTCACGGAATGATGTCATTCAGTATTATTATTATTAAATAAATAGTTTCCACCGTAAGTTAGTTAGTAGAAAGGAAAAAAAGAAAAAAAAAAAAAGAGTGAAAATATAAAAAACCTCTACTATAAGTATTTTTTCTCATTATTTTGCTTGTATTGAAGAGATAATATTTAACCACTTTAAAAGCCCAAACTGACCACCAAGAATCGGCATAAAATTTAAGAAATTATCCAAATTAAGTTTAGCTCTTAATTTTTTTTTTCAAATTATGTCAGACGAAATAATTTAAATAAAAAATCAATAATCCATAAAAAGCCAAGCATAACAAAAATTTTTCAATTTGTTATTTTTATTTTTTTATTAAGAATTAATCCTGATAACGGGGAAAAAAATTAAAATTTTTGCAAGCCAGTGACATTATATACGAGGTAATTATTGTTTACAGCACTTAGCTAGATTTATTAGTTCATTTCTAATTTTTTTTTTATTCTAAATTAAATATTTATTATTGAATGATATATTTATTATTATCATAATGATCACAGTTTTAGTTACATTTACAGCATTAAGAAATTGAATTCAAAATATCTATTGCAACATTATGCACCTTATATATTGAACAGTATGCGAAAAAAATGTGTCATCACGCCTCAATGATCACTCCATTAAACTGCAACCATTTCTCTATAATCAAAGCTAAATTAGATGTTTTTAATTTAACAGTGATTCATTAATATTAGAGCTAAATAATTAAAAATGTTATATCCATTGGAACCATTATATTTTATGAGCTTTCAAGCATATATTTTTAACATAGTGATTTTAATAAAACTAGTGGAATTAAGGAATTTAGAAATGGTAATACCAAATGTTAAATAGATTGACATTTTCAGAATCAAATTAAAAAAAAACAGGACACAGAAACAAAAACATAATTATTAAATAAAAAATAAAATATACTAAAATCAACACTAAATTAGAATTAAGATCTTTTAACCATTCATACCAAATCCATCTGAAAACCTATGGCAAGAAATAGGAGGTGAAGGTATACAACTTTAGCTAAAGAATCATTATTAGTCGGCGATACGATAACAATAGCAGTTCAAATCAATAGAAAGTTCCACACAACACTCCCATAATTTGCATATTAAAAAAAAAATAAATAAATAAATGGATATTACATATCACGTCAAATACTTAATAAAGATGCAAACATTTTAACAAAAATACATAAACAAAATCATATGAGATCAAAAATAAAGTTTTTCATCATAAGAAATATAGTTAAAGGATACAGATCAGATTTATAGCTCTTGGGTATCCATGCACCACTTTCGGTTTTCATTTTCTTTGACTTCTCTAAACCACTGTCACCCACAAACCTTTTCTTTTTTCTATCCCTATTAATACATTAAATTTGTTACCATCACAAATTCATTGATTGGCTATCATAACTATGTATAAATCAAATTTTTTTAAAACATAAATAACAGTGCCCTTTTAAAAGAAAAAGATTTATAAATGCAATGTAGGCTTTTAATATGATGTTAGCTTAAAAATAAATCTGGCGTGGAGACTTTTTTAATAGATGAGCTGGTCAACATCCACCCATTTCATGGGGCTTGTAAAAGGCTTGGGGGTTGAAAAAATTGTTACGCAATATTAATTAACAAAAAATGACTGATTGAAATTGTCACATTCAAATAATTTGTGTTCTATTAATCATTTCATTTTAAAAGATACTAAATTTTTTTTAAATAATTGTTTTCATTATAATGTAAAATAAAGTCAATAAAATTAAATTATAGAAGGAATATCAATAAGGAATTAAATAATTTTTTAAAACTACTTATTTTTTAAAGTGGAACAAATGCATTGTTAATATTTAACATAAGAATTAGTTCTGTTAAGTTTATATGTTCACTTTGAATGTCCCATATGCGAGACTGCAATTGATCTCAAATAGTCGCTTTAGTTTTTTTCAAATGTGAAAAAATAGCCTCCAGAATAGTCCCCTTTTAACATATTTTTTAGAATTTTTACGCTTCAATATGAATTAATTTTCTAAAAAATGATACTTCACACTGTGTATAAAAACGAACCTAAAATTTTTTAAGCTGAAGCATCTGCCTTTTTTGATAATTTATCATTTTAAGATTATTGTACCAAATATTGAATTAATATTCATAAAAAGACACAACATAATATATCACATGTATGAGCAAGTGAACCTGTGTTCTCAATTGATTAATAGATTTGCTCACTTCTATCAAAACATTTTAGTAAAATGATATTATTTTAACTATTTTATTGAAATAATTTATTTTCATCATGTAAGAAAAAGAATGAATGGTACTTTCAATAAAAAATTTTGAATTTGCAGCTGTATTTGGCTTTAATAATTTTTATATGCGTTATAATGTAATATTACGTAATACAAGTTTCATATTTAACGCAATTTTCGAGCTAAGATTTATAATTAAATTCCTTCCAATGAAGAATATCACACCTATATACTACTCATTAAAAATACAACTTAATTCTGATAAAAATCCTGATATTGGATTTTATAAAACGCGAAAATACAAAGCATGATACTAGATTTTTAAATCTCGTGAATACGAATCGCAATAAGTAGAATTTAAATCGTGCATAAATACAAAAATCGATCTTATTTTACAAAAGAGTAAATACATATTTCCATATTGGATTTTAAAATAGCGTAAATACATATCGCGATGTAGGGTTTTAAAATTGAGTAAATCGCAGCGAGCAACTTTTAAATCAGGTAAATAGGAAAACTGATGTTTGATATTAAAATCATACGAAAAATCGCCATATTAGCAGATTCCAAATATTTAAAATGGCATAATTCGCCAAACAAAAAAATTTCTAAATTTAAATTTTAGATTGAGAAACTCTGCAAAAATTTCGTTTGAGTACAAGTTTTTGATTTGCAGAAGTCCGCAAACTAATGACTTGAGATATGCGGAATACCATGATATTCGTGAAAAATCACATTCTGCTTCTAGTTTTTATACCTGAAACCAAAACCTTAGAATTCCAGGGTACACTCGGAACACGAACACCCCTGACTGTTGAACACGATGGGGAAGAAGTACATTGTGGACCCAATATAGTTTCAAAATTTTGTATATTTATATGGAATATTGATCACAAAACTTTAAACACAATTTACTCAAAACTATATTTCCCTTACTAATGCAATTATTTACTTCAAATTTTGACACAAAGTTCAAAATTAATGTAGTTCTCGTTGCACATATTTTTTTTATTGGGGGGAATAGCATTGAGCAATCCATGAAAGTGTAACATATTTTATGCCATTTTTTCCCTTTAAAACATTGCTATTTTGTGAAATTTATTTATTTAAAAAAAAAGAAATCCTATGTGCAATATAAACTCTATTAATTTAAATTAAAATCGTATGATTCTTTTTCATTTTATGAGTACAGCAAGTTACGGATTACTTAAAAAAATAGGTTATAAGCATTGTATTAGATAAGTGCTATTTTTTAAAATTTTAGTGATTGTAACATGATAAAATGAAGATTAAAATATGTACAAAAAAGGAAAGAAATCTATTAAGATTATCACAATTGTTGCAAAATCCTTTTTTACAGGCTTCTGTGTTGTTCTTCTTAAAATTATGTTAGTTTTAATGATGACAATTTGAGAAATTTTTCTATTTTTACTCTGAAGGAATTATAGTTTTATTTGGAGAGTGGGCATGCTGAATTATCAATCAGGTATCAAAAGGATCCATGAAAATCCTTTATACCCATTTATAAACTATATTAGAATGTTTAATAGAAATTTAAAATGTTTTATTGATATTATATGAAAAAGAGAAAAAAGTTAAATGGGAGTAATATTAATTCAATCTCTTAGAAATGTCGTATTACCTTTTAAAAAAACTTAATAAAATCATTTCTTCCTTTAACCTACTACTACTGTTATAAATTGTAAATTGAAAAAAGAAAAAAAAAAAAAATTATTGTCGAAATTAACATTTCCCCCAAGATTCAAATAAAGAGCAGCAATTGATGGATTCTCGCAATTTTGATAACGGACATATCTATCTTGTTCCTCAAGTCTAAATTTTTAAGCTATTTCTATTTCACCCAATTTATTGTTACAGAATTTTTATGACTTTTGAATAAAGAGAAAACTTTACTAAAAGATGAAATCTAATATTGTGAAAGGGAGAGACTACTTGTTTCAAAAATTTGAATGGATCTATTAGTACAATTTGAATTTATTTCAAGTGATTTGAATTCAAATAAAAATTAAACTATCACAAATTTTAGATATGGTTAACACAAGTTAATTTTAAGTAAAATGACAGTTTTTTTAGAATATAAAATTTTTGAATTTCGTGTTCAATAAGAGAAGAAATATGAATTTAGTAAGAGAGTTCATTTTGAAATAACTAACAGTATAAACTAACTTTCAAGTGCAATTGTACAAAAAATACTTTTTCAAAAATTTAATTCATACTTTATTTAATGTGATAATTACAATTTGCATTATAGTTTAATTTTAATAAATGTTCATAGGTATGTTTCTGATGTTTTATGTTACGACGCAAAGTTTAGCTTTTCAGTCTAAAATTTTTGCAGCATGTTTGAATATTTTAAATAATATGATTATTATTGTGTTACGTAATTTAGTTGAATATATTTTTTTTAATGTTTCATTTTTATTAAATATGCTTGTTAAAAAAATAAAGAATAATAATTGTAACAATCAATATGCAGGGCTGCCACTGGCAACTAATTTGACAAAAAAGGTAACTATGGCAACTATTTTTTGCCAAAATTTGGGAAAAAACAACTTTTTTTAAAAATCAGGACAAGTAATATGTTTCTTTTCCTCAGTTCAATATTTTTTCTTTCCGCTTATAATTTCATGTACAGCCTGATAAGTCATTTTGTATGTGTTGATAAAAGCAGATGTTGGGAGAAGCTGTCCCTGTAGCAGTGTAAGGGGTCATTGATTAGTAGTCGGTAATATCTATCTTGCTACCCATTTCTCGATATAATTTTGTTTTTAAGTTTGGGCTTTTAAATCCAGCAAATCTTTTTCTTCATTTTAAGCATAATATATAAAGGAAAATATAGAAGTCATAACAGATAAAGAAATATTTAACAAGCACATATGTTTGATACAGAGTTATGACATTTCAAATAATATTTATCAAGAGCATGAAAATGAATGGAAATAATTCAAATTTATTCACTGTAAAAATGAAATAAAACTAAAATACAAAATAATCACATTAGTTACTACATTAGACATTAAACATACATAGCTGTAGCCTAATATCTAATGTAGTAACTAATAGCAATAAAGTTGTATAAGAATATTTTAGTTATTAAATTAAGAGCAAGTCTTAAACACATACCACTTTTTTTTAGAACTTTTAATTTTTCCGGACGTTTGATCATCATCACCAGTAAGATCTAATACAGCACTTGCTGCTTGGCGCTCAAAAGTTGACTCTAAACCTAGACTAAGAAAATGAAATTTTATTATAGATATGAGTTGATTAGAAGCCAGAATATATTATATTTCAAATGAACAAAATAACTGACCCTAACATGTTTTCCCTACACCTTTTGCTACACACCATAATTTCGCGGAGATATGTCACGGCATTATTTATTTAAAATGTCGAAATTCAGTTGGAAGGCGTATCTAACGCTGCATCCTAAATAGTATTACTTTTTTTTCTTCCTTCTTTAGAATATCTTGCTTTTTAGAAGCCATACTGGAAATTTCATCATTATTTTTTCCCCCCCTTACTAGTACTTTTTATTTATTTTTTCATGCCGAATGTTACTTCAAAAAATGGTCAGCGCACTTGGAACTCCCCCCTCCTTTCTTGGAATCATGTTTTGAAAGCTGCTATCCACAAGAGAACCTTCTGCCGTATGAACAGTTGTTGAGTGTAGGGAATGGAGTGGAGAAGCATAAATCAGAACGGAATGTATGAAGAAAATTAGGGTGGTGCCAGTGATAACGTCAGCTGTAAAACTAATGCTTCTCCCTTGTTTTTTCTAGGAAATATGAAAATGATATTTTTTCTTTAACTTTTTGAAAGAACATGATAAAATTTTTTTTATATTTCAATAAAATATGACTGAGTACAAATTCAGATATTCGGAATACCATGAAACTGGAGGGATAAATTTCATTTTAAAAATTAGATTTTTCAGCGACCTAAATTCATGACTTTCCGTGATATTTTGTTAAAAAAAAAGTTTAAATCATGAAAAATTTTGTTCAATACCGAAATTCATGACTTTCCAGGTGCGCAGACCCTGTATACATTTCAAATGTCTCCCATTAAGAGGAAAAGTTATAAAGCGGCATTTAAGCAGCTGTGAGCAATTAAAAGAGCAAAAGAAACTGTGATAAATGACTTAAAAAAAAAAAAGCAGAAATCATCCCGGGACAAAACGAAACGTGATGCTGAAAGTATGAGTGATGGGGATGAACACGAAATAAACAATGAACTAACAAATCTATTGTGATAATGTTAATTATCACAAGGTTATACTCTCCTTAATATATATATATATTTTAAATTTGCTTTACTTGTGGCCTCTTAACTCTTAATTTCTTGTTTACGGATTCCTGCCCTTTCAATTTATAATTAAATCTGTTATCAATTTACAACGCATATGCAATATTTACAATGTATATGTTTAAATACTGCATATTTTAGTATTATTATGTTTTATATTTTAACTATGCAATATTAATTTATTTATAATTGTTTAGTACCACATTTTCTTTTTTTAGTCATGCACTGCCTTAAGATATTTTCCCCAATCTTATTTTTTACTATCAGTAACCTGATACCATTTCTGGTACCCTCTTGCTCCTGTCTTTCCGCAGCCTGCAAAAGCGTGGGAGACTTTTTTTTTCTGCAGCTGTATCCCTCTGCTCTTCACTTTAAAATATGATTTTTATGTCCCCATAACCTTGTGATATTTTCTTTTCCTCTCACAGTATGTGAACTTTTAATTGCTTACTGGACGGAAATCGTTATTTTTAACCTTTAGCCTTACCTCGCTTCCCCTTTTCACATGAGGGTGTAGCTGTCACATGTTAGTTGTGCTATCTATTGCTAATTTCTTCTGTCGACCAATAATTTCTTAAGGGGTTAGGTGTGAACTGCCCACCTCTTTTTTCATTGGCCTTCCTTGTACCCCCTTTTTTCATTTTGACCCTCATTGGTTATTTAACAATGAGACCGAGTTTTCTTAAGGCAGATGCACGACTGAGGAAGGACACAACATCCACTTTTGGTGAATTTTACAAAATTTTTCTTGTGATGTCAAACTGAGAGAGTTGTGAAACCTTTTTTCAATGCCTCCTTATCTGTGGTGCCAACATGTTTTTGATGGAGAGGTTTGGATTGTGAAGTTCTAGTGCAATGTATACATATTTTTGATAGCAAAGTGTGATTGTTGAGTGGCATGTTAATGTCAACTTACGATATAACAAACAGAAACCATACGAAATAGTGTTTGTTCCTTCATGTCTCCTTCTTTCATTCAATGATTTATGAACCGCCTTCTTTATTTCATGATGATCAATATTTAAAAGATGTTAACCCTAGGGTGAGTAGATCAGTTTTTAATGCTTTCAAATCTACAGATTTATATGTAAACCCACAATAATGATTTTTTTCATATCTTTATTTAACTCTTAACCATTTAAAATTTTATGACCCAATGGGGTTATTCGGTTTGTATCAATGCTGTACCACCACTATTCGGCCGATTTCAATGCAATTTAATAAACAACATGTAACTTTTCTCTATTGATTCAATTACTAATTTGTGTTAATCCCTCATACATTCTTGTGGGTTTACCTTGCCACATACACAATCTGTTTTTTCTTTTTTCCTAAAATTTCCTGTTTAAAATTCAATTGTCTTGCCATATTATTGAGAATTAAACATTAATTATATAAATCATTACTTATTTTTATGGCTTTTGATATATCGATTATTTTATTCATACTTTAAGGGTAACTTCAAATAATTGTTTGCTTAATTTTACCTAGAAAGTTAATAAAATCTATTTTATATACTAGGATTGTTTCTATTTTTTTTTTTGTATATTCAATATCCTTTAATAGGTTTTTATTTAACTATTTAAATTATGTATATATGCATATTTAGAGCATGTGTTAAGCCTGTAATTAATATCCGAGCTAGTATTGTAAAATTCGGCGTGGCGAGTCCAATGGTGTGGAGTATCCAGTGAAAAGCTTTTTAAAGGCGGGAGTATATACCAGTTTCTCTGTGAAACTACGGTATTTCTTAAAATTTTTTTTTTCTTCCTTTGAAAAAGAAAACAATAATAATAATAAAAATGACATAAAACTACTTCAGATAAAAATACATAGAGGTTAAATTTTTAATATCTATTAAATTCTTTAAAAAAAAAAACGAAGCAATTTATATAAACCACTTGCATATTTATAGTAAAAAAAAAAAAAAAAAAAAAAAAAAAAAAANAAAAAAAAAAAAAAAACACTCTTTAAATTATATATGTAAAAAAAATAATAATTTTTTTTATTTATTATTGTTAAAAAGCAATTTAAAAATATATTTAAAAAAGAAAAAGAAATCCAAAAATATATTTTAAAAACTATTTATAATAAAAGTAATATTTATTTACAATGCAAACATTAACCGAAAGAAAAAATTAAGATTTAATGACACAAAATTTTGATATACTATAGGAAAATATAATCTACTTCAGTACTGCAATGCAATCGAAAAAAATAATTTACTGAAAAGTTTATAATATTCACTCAAAAATATACCACTAGCAAGTGATAGAAAATTGTCATTTTTCTTGAAAGTCTATTCTAAAACCTTAACATTGTTTTTTTTTCTTCAAATGCACAGCAGCATAAGCTATTAAAGCAATAAAATTAAATCAATTAAACATTACATAAAAAGGAAATAAAGCATTTAATTAAAAGGAACAAACATCAAAAGGCCAATGTTTGATAAATCACACACTATCATTCATTCACAAATGAGATATAATAGTTACAAATACAACATTAATAATAAAAATCAAATTTGATTTCTTACCCCTTTTCTTTATAATGTTCAGAGGATACATATGATATATAGTGATCTTTATCTTTGAAATTATTTTGCTTCTTTGGTACATTTTTTGAAGAATGAAAAGTTTGGGAAAAAATCTGAAAGATAATGTAAGAAACTTATAATGGCATAAGTGTTATGAAACCCATTAACATAAAAGCAATACCTATTTAAAATAAAAGCAATATTACAGTGCAGCTTAAATTAGAAGAGAAAACTTTACCACTGGATTTTTTTTATTTTAATAAAAACATATATTTGCCCATAATATAACTGTTATACTCTCGAGTTCTAAAAGCTATATTTTTTATTGTCACAGGCTAAATGAAAAGTCTGATATTGTTTAGACTTATTACAATCCGCCTACATATGTTCAGGGTATTCAGGAGATATACAAATAATTATTCAATCAGATTGAATTGCAATAAACCTTTCATAAAATGATTTATAATGAGTCACTCAAAATAATGCTAGCAATGCGTCCTTCCTACTTGAACTGATCGTTGAGGTAAAGTATTCTCACATGGTTTGAATCTATTGATTTTTCTCAAGACTGATTTTAGTTCCCAGGGCTGAAGAGTGGCACCCATGCACTGAATAATACACCCACTAACCTCAAATTAGACTAAAAGTACGTGTATTCACTGCAATAATCTTAAAATATAGATGGTTGATTAGAAAATAATGGAGTCTTTTCCAATGAATCGGGCAAATTGCAGCAACTGTTATCAATAAGCTTGATTATTAAATGAGTCAACAGCAGGGCTGCCAACTTTCTACGCTTTTTGTAAAAACTTATTCTAGCGGTACCTTAGTTATGCTTTAATGCGCTAATTTTTTTTATTCATTTGAACTCATTTTCCACACCAATACACATAAATGATTTATAAGTTCATATTCAACGCCACTTTGTTTCAGTTTCTTATGCTTTTAAAATGTTGGCAAAATGATTAGCAATCATTAATGTTTACCACTGTATAAAATGTTAAACAAAAAACATAGAAGTTGGCAGGCCTGCAACAGCCTATGCAGGCAGTCCATTACACTTCCTTTTTTTAAAAAATCAAAAATATGCAGACATAAGCTAAATATAAGTTAAATTACTTGTAAATCACTTTCGGTCGCATACTCTTGATCAGCCTTTTCTATTTTTTCTTTGGGTTCATCATCATCATCATCATGAGCAACTCTTTTTTGATTAAGGATTTCAGCATGTATTTGTCTCTTTTTTAACATAACTTGTTTGGCTTGAGTTTTTGAAAGTGCTCCATGTTCAAATATTGTCTACAGAAAATAAAAACAAGTTGTTTATAAGAATTAAAAAAAAGTTTTATTTACACAAATTTTTATTTAAATAGAGCTCACCGTATTGGGTCGGTAATTTTTCATATCGGCAATAAATTTATTCCTTTCAAGCTCTGTATCATCTAAATTAGCAATTTTTTAATTATTCACATGCACAAATAAATATTTTATACACAAATAGAAAAATAAATAGATCCATTAAATACATAATATTTTCCTAAATATTTCTGATTAAATTTTAAATATTTAAAGTCAATGCTCAAAGAAAATATTCACAAAACTTTAAAATATATTTACACTTTCTAAAAACTAAAAAAAGTTTTTAAGCAATTACTATTTAAAAACAGTTTTGCCAGAATTTTGGTGGGTAAATTAATTTTTTTTTCTTTCTTTTACATCAAATAGCCAGTATTTTCAACTCATCACATGGATTATTTTATTTTTCAAATGTCTATTATGAAATTAAGTAATTTCACATTTTTGGAAAGGTGTCTAATAAGTGTTTAATCAGAATAAAAGAATACTTTGAGTACCAGACATAAATGTTATTCTCTTTCGTTAGAATTAATTATACACAAATTTATGAGAATGTGAAATTTAGTCTGGTTTGTTAAAGGGGAAAAAAAGTATAACAAAATTTGAAATTAAACCAGTATGTGTCTTTTCTACTTTTTGTAAATGAAAAAATTTTTTTTTATAATGCAGTAATGTTAGGAGTTGGGAGCATATCAATAACATTTTGTAACAAAACCTTCTATAGCTTTAATTATTTGAGTTTCTAATGAATTATAATATAAGGCTACATATGCGTTAACAGTTCTATAATGTAGAGTGCAAATTGCCAATTGTAACGGCTTAAGTTAATTTTGTTACAAACTTAGTTATTCAGGCACAATTTTAATTGCAAATAGTCACTTCATGCAAAGCTAAAATTTCAATGTTTCGGAAAATGCAAAAGCAAGAATTCTTATTTACAGTGTTTTTGAAAGCTTTTTTTTATTTTTTATAAAACAAACAATCACAACTCTATTGGGAACAAAAACAAACACATAAATACAAAGAAAATATATTCGTCGTCAAGAGGAAAATCCTGTTCAGGCGACAAAGAAAGGTAACACAATAAATTTAAAATAGAAATAAAAAAAAAAAACANAACATTACCTGCTCCAGGTTGAAATAATACCTTAACCTGCTTCCAGAGATTTAATACCCTAATATAATACATAGTTTTTCTTCATTTCCAAAATACTTGATTATACATTCACATACATTATGATGTCTGGCTTTTAAAGCAAAGCCCAGCGATATAACATTTGGATATTTTGCAACTGAAATGGTAATTTATTATATAATTTAGGTGCTAAGCAAAAAAACTGTTTTAGTGAAATTTCTTTTGCAAAGTGGGGAATCTCATATATTTCAGTTGGTCTCCTTCCAGACACATTAGTTTGTAATTTGCATATTAATTTATTGTTGTGTAAATACAGTAAAATACGAAAAAATACATTATGGCGAAATGGTAATAGATCAATTCTTGTATATATATTGGTAGTAGTTATACTTGAATTATTCATATTTAGAGAATTAATAATCCTGAAACATTTATTCTGAACTGAGATTAAAGGAAGTAAATTAGTTCTATATTCACCGCCATACATTATTGCACTATAATTAATTAAAGAATAAAACCAGGAGTAATATAGTGCTTTCACAAAATTAAAAGGAAATTTATTCTTAAGGTGATAAAATTTAACTAAAACAAAACGCAATTTTTTAAACTAAACTGTTAATATGTGTTTTCCATTTCAAATTAGAATTGATATATAGTCCTAAATATTTGATATTATTTACAGATTGCAGAATGCAGCATCGACAATTTTCATTAGTACTTTTACAGAAGAGAGAGAGAGAGTGAAATTTTAAATTTAAGTTGAATTCCGATTTTCTTAAACTTAAATAAATATATTTAGATTTAAAAAGTCATTTACTGTAAATCATTTTGAAATTACGCGTAAATCAGATTCAATTTGAAAAATTA